AACACAGATACAGTAGAATACTGTTTTCCCCTCAAATTTTGGATTTGCTCATTAAAGGGATTAAATTATTAATTGTAAATCTCTAAGATTAGGGATTTTATGCTATTCTTGTTTTGGGCATACTAATAGTTATAAAGTTTGAATATTTATCAGTTCTATTTTAAGTTCCCAGAAAGCATAGAGTTATTTTAATTTTAACAAAGAAAAACTCTATACCTTGAAAATTGTTAAACACTTCAATTTCCCCTCCCCAATCAATGACAGCCTTAAATTGTTTGATCGCTTAAAAGACAAATATGGTTGTACGTGTTTATTTTCAGAGTGAAAATACAATAGCAGAAAAAAAAAATTATTTTCTACAAAGAACAAGTATATAAAATTCTGGAAAGATCTTTTCATATTTAAAAAAAAAGAACAAACCAACAGCCCTATAATGGAACAAGAGGATGTTTATATCTACTTCCCCTCCCCTCCTTCCTTTCCTTATCAAGTCCCCTAGTAGTAGAGTGAGATGTGAAGAAAGGAAAGAATGTGATGTACATTTGAACACCACAGTCTTTGAGATATTCAAATTCTCATAGATAAGATTAATTAGGTCACATTTTATTCAGTATCTCCAGCTCTTTTCTTTTCTCTATAGAATAATACTTGTAAAGCATGTATTCAAGTGAATCAATATTAAAATCTCTCTCTCCTCAAAAAAAAAAAAAAAAAAGGATTCCTTGGATGTGTTCATTTTTAAACAAATAATATCTCATTCAGTATTCTTAGGTAAATTTAATTTTTATACAAAATTAGATTTAAAGAGGAATGTAAATCATCATAGTACATTTTATAAGGACAGATTCTTAATTTTTTTTTTTTTTTTCCTTTGAGACAATTTTGACCTTACTGAGAAGCTAGGCTATAGGGATCATTGGCAGAACTTTGTGTGTCCTCATGCATAGCGTATAATGAGGATTTAATCAGACAGAAAATAATATCTTGCCAAGTTATTATTGTTAAATGTCTTATTCACTTTAGTATTTCAAGGTTTATAGAATACGAAATATCCCAGAGAGGTGACTCTGAAAAAACTTGAACTTTCTCATTTCCTATAGTATTTAATTCAGAGCTGTATAACACCATGACCAATATTGCAATGAAACCTATGAATTAACATGGATCAGTCTTGTGTCTATTTGCCTCTGACCCCAATGGTATCCAGCTGGTTAACATATTAAAACCAATCAGTTCTATGTAAAAACCATGGCATCTGTTCTATTTAGTAGCACAAGTAGTGCTTAGTTTAATCAAATGATTACTAAAACTATAGAAAAACAAAAAATTTTAAGTAACGAATTGTTATGGTTTAGGATAAAGATAAACATCATTTCATTGAAGCCATGTCACCCTTTCCTCCATCTCATTCTGTCTAGGCATATTTACTAGATATTACTGATTGAATCTCAGTTGTCTGCATCCTAATATTGTAAACGCACATGCAACAGTCTCATCCTATATGAAAGCTTTCATTGGGACTAATTTGTAAAGGGCAAACATTTAGCTTTATGTTAAGTAGGTAGGTGGGTTGTTGCTTTTCTAGAATTCCATTCTTTATCAAGCCTTTATGAATTGTTTGTAAGTATACAGCTGGACAATGAAAGCTTTATATTCATACCACAATTAGCCAAAGTCATTCTAGCTAAACTCTAGTAAAGATCTCTAGTATGCAATGAATGTGAAGTATTCATGCTTTCTTTACCGATAATTTCTTTCTGGCTTCATACTGGCTGGGTTATTTATTGAAATTAATCTTCTAAGTTGCTTTTTCACTGCTTTTCATGTTGCAGATTGAAAATGTTGATGTCTGCCTTAGTTTTCTAGCAGCCAGAGGAGTGAATGTTCAAGGTCTATCTGCTGAAGGTAAGAAAGCACAATTGTCATGAATGACAAAAATATTTTACAAAGATTTTTCCTGATGTAAGAACTGTAAGTTTGGAATATAGAGCTCCTTGTCACATGAGTGAAATTTGCAAAACATAAGAAGCATAAATCTGTTGATTACTAATATATGCTTTAATTATTTCCACATATTTTGTTGGAGTTGTTCATTACATCAGGGAGCGTATAGACCTACTGTTATTAAGGTTTTAAGTAGATGTAGGTATGGATGCATGAACAAATGAATGAGTAAATGCTGAAATGATTAATCATTGTTGTTGTTAAGTGCTGTTGAGTATAATTACAGGTAAAGAGAATATAATTAGTGTTAAACTTTTATATTATCAATAATAGCATTTCTATAATACATACTACTTGATAATAAAGTCAAAATATTTGGAAAGTTTAAATAAATGCTCCTGAGTTAACTAATTGCTGTTGTTGTTAGGTGTTGTTGAGTTGGTTTCAACTCATACCAACCCTGTATAGGGTTTCCAAAGAGCGACTGGTGAGTTTGAACCACTGACCTTGCTGTTCAAACTGACCTTGCGGTCCAGGATATTACCCTGCTGGGGACTCCATGTTAAATAATTAGCACTAGGAATATTAAGTTTATACTTTAAGGATTTTAAATTATTAAAGGTTTTAAAGATACTCATTAAAATGGAAAAATAACAAAGATAAAAAAGAAGAAAGTCTGTCCTTTTATTTTCTGAATCTCTTTTTCTTCCACATAATGATTGTTTCAAAAGTTTGAAAAAATTGGCTGGTCATAAATCAAACTTTTCCATACTAAAGAAATCTAATGTTTTTATTTCCTTTTCCTTCACCCTGTCATGTCATTCTATTCCCCATCATTACTTCTTTCTGCCTGTCTATTCATTCATCATTCTATTTCTTATTGATCAATGGAATGAAAATATGATAAAAACCATTTTTGCAAATTTAGATATTTATGTTAAGACTTGGTTTTTAATACATTTTAAATTGTATTTCTAAAAAATTCAAGTACTGTTAACAAAAAAATCAATTGACAAGAATTATGAGATACCAAGGATCCCTGGTAGGTTTGTGGGTTATGAGTTTGTCTGCTAAGAGCAAGGTTAGCAGTTAGAATCTTCCAGATTTTCCTCAGGAGAATGATGAAACTTTCTGCTCCCATAAAGATTTACATCCTCAGAAACTCTATCCAGGGTCTCTATGAGTAGGAATGAACGCAGTGGCACATAACCAACATTATGTGACACAAGATGCAACACTGAACGCGCTCACTCATCTATACCAAGAAATTTGGAAGACAGTTACCTGGCCAACCAGCTAGAAAAGCTTCATGTTTGTGCCTGTCCTGAAGAAAGGTGGCCCAACAGAATGTGAAAAGTGTTGAAAAATATTATTACTATCACCCAAAAGTAAAGCGTTGCTGAAAATAATTCAGAAACAGTTGCAGTAGTACACCCACAGGGAACTGTTAGAAATTCAAGCTGATTCAGAAGAGAATGAAAAACTAGACATATCATTGCTGATGTCAGATGGATTTAGGCTGAAAGCAGAAGAGTACCTGAAAGATGTTTGCATTTTATAAAATTGGCAAAAGCATTCACCTGTGTAGATCATAACAACTTAAGGATAGCATTGGAAAGGGTGGGAATTCCAGAATACTTAATTATGCTCATGGCAAACTTGTACATAGACCAGGAGGCCGTCACTCAAACAGAAGATAATGAGTGTTTTACAATCAGAATAACTGTGCATCAGCATTGTATCCTTTTACCGTATTGAGTCAATCTATATGGTGAGCAAGTATCTGAGGAAGTAGACTGTATGAAGTTTATGGCTTCAGGATTGTTGTAAGACTGATTAATAGGGTATGATATACAGATGACATAACCTTGCTTATTGAAAGTGACTAGGATTTGAAGTACTTAAAGATCAAAGATGATAGACTTCAGTATGGATTATATTTTAACATAAAGAAAACAAAAGTCCATACAAATGGTCCAATAAACAACATTATGATAAACTGAGAAAAGATTGGCGTTTTCAATGATTTCATTTTGTTTGGGTCCACAATCTGAGCCCGTAAAAGCACTCACCAAGAACTCAAATGACATATTGCATTGGGTAAATCTGTTGCAACTGATCTCTTTAAAATTTAAAAAAAAAAAAAAAAAAAAAGAAAGAAAGAAAGAAAAGAAAAGAGCAGTCATATTACTTTGAGGACTAAGTTATGTCTGATACAAGTTGTGGTATTTTCAGTTGCCTCCGATGCGTGTGAAAGCTGGACAATGAATAATGAATACTTATGGTTAAAGGAGCTCTGGTAGCGTAGTGGTTACTAATCGGGCTGCGAACCTTAAGGTCAGCGGTTCGAAACTACCAGCTGCACCGCGGGAGAAAGATGAGGCTTTCTACTCCCGTAAAGATTTACACCCTCGGAAACCCTATACAGGGTCGCTATGGGTCGGAACCGACTAGATGGCACATAACAACAACAACAACAATGGTTAAAGAAGAAATGATGTCTTTAAATTATGATGCTGGCAAAGAATATTGAATATATCATGAACTTTCAGAAACACAAACAAATGTATCTTGAACAAGTACAGTCAGACCATGTCTTAGAAACAACTATGACGAGATTTTCTATTCATGTAATTTGGGCACTGTATCAGAAGGGACCAGTCCCTGGAGAAGGACATGATGCTTGGTTAAATGGAAGGTCCACAAAAAGAAGGCCTTTGACAAGGTATACTGACCCAGTGGCTCCAGCAATGGGCTCAGACATACCAGCAATTGTGAGACTGTTGCAGGACCTGGCAGTGTTTCATTCTGTTGTTCATAGGATCATTTTGAGTTGCAATAACAGCAATGAATGAACTAGCAAGTCCCCTGGAACCTGAATCAAAAGACTCATTTTCTACTTGATAGCTTTAATACAGTTTGAACATTTAGATTAGCCAAATTTTACTTTAATTAATATGCTTTGAAAGTTTTTTCCTACACATATTAGAAATG